AAGGAGACTAGCCCAGAGGGTGGAGGCTGAACTTTGAGTCAGGGGAGAAAGCAGGGTGGGGTCGTTAAGCAGTTTAGCAATGAAATCCAGGAAGAAGGAGAGGCAGAACTTTCCAGATAATTCACCCTCCCCATCATAAACTTATGCCAAACAATCCTGCAGACTTTAGAACGTTCTTTCTTTCTCGCACGGTGTCTATTTACACATGCACAGAGGCTCTGAATGAGAAGACTCAGGGCAGGGCCCGCTCCATGGAAGCAATGACCCGAGGCGAGGCTGTCATTTCAGCTTTTGCAAGCGCCTGCCAACGCCCCTCCCAGCTGCCCTGGGCAGACCACCCGGCACCAGACGACCCCCGCCCTTCCTCCCAGCCCGGAACTGTTTCAAGTCCCTGATTTTAGAGGCTCGCCTACTTCCTCTCTTTTTTCTTTATTTTTTCCTATCTGACCCTTATCCATTTATACTATTTCTTTTTTTAAGCCTCTGTACTGGGAAAAGGAAGGTGAAATGTAAAAGAACTAAAATAATTCAATTACGTTTAAGCAGCTTTTTGAGAGCAAGAGAACCTATGAATTAACTTTATATAATCTGTCCACAAACGGCTGCAGGATTTTTATTGATGGCTACGATTTGCTCTTTAGGCCGGGCGCGGTGGCTCACGCCTGTCATCCTAGCACTCTGGGAGGCCGAGGCGGGAGGATCGCTCGAGGTCAGGAGTTCCAGACCAGCCTGAGCAAGAGCGAGACCCCGTGTCTACTAAAAATAGAAAGAAATTAATTGGACAACTAAAGATATACAGAAAAAGCTGGGCATGGTGGTGCATGCGTGTAGTCCCAGCTACTCGGGAGGCTGAGGCAGGAGGATCGCTTGAGCCCAGGAGACTGAGGTTGCTGTGAGCGAGGCTGATGCCACGGCAATGTAGCCCGGGCAACTCTCAAAAAACAAAACAAAACAAAACAAAAAACAAACATTCAAGGCCATCTCAAATCCTGAAGAGTCCCTGGTTTCTGTGACGGGAAGAATTCAGCTAGCGAACAGCTGGATTAAAATCCAGGCAAGAACGCTCTAAATCTTCTTCTTTGGGTTCTTCTTCGTAAAAATCTGTTGTAGTAATTCCCAGATAAACTCCGTTCACTGGTTTTCTATGCTGCCCTCTGTGTTTTTCTTTGTGTGGTCCGTCTTCTTTTCTTTCCACAAATTCCCGAGCACGATCCCTAAAAAGAGTATGAGTCCTATTGTTCGGTTGGAGGTGAATTTATCCCAACAATCCTCAGGCCTGTGGATGTCGAGAGTGTAGACCTGTGGGGAACACGACTCGGCGTTAGGACCCAGCCTGCACTCGGGGTGCGGCCGTGCCACGGCACAACACGCACACACACGTCAACACAGAGAAAACAGCAGTGTTATAGAATTTTTTTTTTATTATATATATATTTTTTTGAGACACGGATCCTCACTCGGTTGCCCCCTCCGGGCTAGATGAGTGCCGTGGCGTAGCCTCGCTCACAGCAACCCTCCAACCTCCTGGCTCCAAAGCGATCCTCGCTGCCT